CCCCAAAAACCCCAAAACCCCAAAACCCCAAAACCCCAAAACCCCATATGATTGTAGTTTTATTGAAATTTTTATCAAGGCTTCCTTCATTACTTAGCAAAGTTGCTAGTGATTATGGTGATTATGATGACTATGGTTTTCTCTAGCTTTGGCTTCTCTTTCTCTCAATTCCTCCATATACTTTAGGTTTTCTTTAATCATACTCTCGGCTTCCTCAGGCTTTCCCCAGACATTATAAAGTTCAGAAATATTATGTCTTGTTGCTATAGCATCTGGATGAGAAGGGCCTTGAATCTTCTCTCTGATATTTAAGCATCTTTCATAAGAATCTATAGCTCTTTCATATTTCTGCTGGTGCTTAAAAAGAAGACCCATTGAGTTAAGAATAACTGCACATGGGATGCATTCTTCTCCTTGATAATGATTGGCCATTACCATATAAGCTTCCTTAAGATTCCTGTAAGCGGTCTGTGTATCTCCTTTCTTCCTATATGCTCCTGCGCTCATGCCAAGGACCATTGCATATTCAGGATGTTGATCTCCCACAGTCTGCTTTCTCATCTCAATTGCTTCCTCATAGTACTTGACAGACTGATCGTAGTCCTCTAAATCCCTCAACACTGTGGCTACATTTACACAAGCACTTATAGTGGAGGGATGAGCCTTGGTCAATAATTTACAGTACTTATTGTATACAGAAAATAATAAGTCATAAGCATCTTGGAAATGCCCATTCATACGCCACAATACTCCTTGGTTATTCTCATAGGAGAGGTATGCAGGGTGGTCTGGAGTGAAGTATTTCTCCAATTCTCCTTTATAAGCAGTAATCATCTTCTGAGCTTGTGCATACTCCCCTAACGCCATTGCTTGACTGATCTTCTGTACCTGAGCTTTTAAATTTTCCATAACTTCAGGAGGAACTGCAGGGTCTTCATAATTCTTAGCTTGTTGTTCTGTGGTCTCACTTGAAAATTTTCTTAAACTCGTCTGGAAAAGGGAGTACTAAAAAAATAGATTAGCAGACTGTGACTTCACAGTGGCTTACTCTCTTAATTCTTAAACTATTGACTGGCAATGGTTTATGAACCTTAGATATATTTTTCCTAAATAATCCAAAATCTATATTCTTGTTACTTAATTTAGATACTTCTGAGCCTGGAAGAATGAGTGTTAGACTTTCTATAAAATAGTCAGATTAGAAAATGAGTTGGATAGATTGCTAGCAACTGAGACTGTACCTTAATAGATGTTTTGCCAACATTTTAATGAATGGTTCAATATATTTATATTAAAAAGGGGTTTTGGGGTTTTGGGGTTTTGGGG